AAATAAAATTGTGTTGCATTATCTACCACTGAAGCCGAATACATTTCAGCTGGTAGTTGCTGTGCACAAGTTTTATGGATGAAACAACAACTTTTTGATTATGGAATTGAAGTAGGTACCATTCCTATCAAGTGTGACAATACTAGTGCTATTTGTCTCACTAAAAATCTCATCCAACACTCTAGAACTAAGCACATTGAAATAAGACATCACTTCATTAGAGACCATGTCACTAAGGAAAGATGTAGTTCTAGAATTTGTTGATACTTTGCACCAATTAGCGGATATCTTTACAAAACCTTTAGACAAGGAATGATTTTGGACACTTAGGAGAGAATTAGGTTTGACCAATCTATCTTCACTGAGTGTTTAAAATAATTTTAGCACTTTTAATAATAAATGAAAAAAGCTTATAATAATAATTTTTGATTGCATTCATTGCTATTAGTTAGGGAGAGTTTATGATTCTTGATAAAAAAAATTAATTTTATGTTCAAATATCGTTTAAAGATTAATTGAATTATTTGAACATGATTAATTTTCAATATATGAGTTGCCAATACCACTAGAGGAAATTAATTTAGCATTTTGGTGTTTAAAATCGGATTTTAGCATTTTGGTGCAGAGGGAATCGACCCCCCCTTGAGGGAACCGATTCCCCTTTTGAAGGGGAACCGATTCCCCCCACAGGGGAATCGATACCCCCCTGGGGTTCTGGTTTTAACACGGGCAGAACCCAATATTTGCTCAAACCTCTCTTATTTTTTTCTCTTCCGCCGTTCTCTCTCAACTTTTCTCAAATCTCCATTCTTGCCTCAAATCATCGATTTTAATCAGAATTCACTTCAAATATCATCTCCTAAACTTGCAATCATCATTAAAATCGTGCAAACAACATCAAAATCCACTCAATCTCATCCTTCAAGGTAAAATTTTCTAAACTCCCTATTTTATTGATTTTGAACATAGGACTTGTTTTAATTAGTTCTAGGATGAACTTTAGATCGGGCATTGATTGTTTAGTGATTAGAAACTAGATATTACAACCAATTTCATCAAAAACACAAGAATTTTCCAAATGTTTTTTAAATTTTCGAAATTAAAAAAATGTTAATTTTCAAATTATTGTATTTTGATTAAATTATGTTGTTGTTATGAAAACTATACATATATTGTTTCTCAAAACCATATTTTTCAAAAGTTTTTCAAAAACTTTTCCCATTAGGATTGATTTAGAGAACCTTGAAATATTGAGGACTCAATTGAGTTTAGGGATTGATTAAATTGCATACATGCGTTTTCTAAATTGCAGGTTATCAATTCTATTCTGATTTCCTAAACCATATCCAATCCTAAACGTGCTAGGTCTTCATCTAGTCATTCACACCGTCAACCAAATCCACCTCCAAATCCTCCACCTATTCCAATTTCTAATCCTAATCCTATTGATCCTAATTTGACTATCCAAAATTCGTGTTTCAACCATCCTGGTCCTAGAAATCATCGTTTTTGGTATTATCAATATTTCGACTCTTACAAAATCCGGGAAGAACGTATTCCTTCTCGTCAAGCTATGTTAGCTATCAATTTTAAATATCTTCCTCTTTTACAAGAGTGGAAATTTGATAAACTCTTTGACCTTGAACCCATCGTTTACCATCAACGTGTTCGTATTTTCTATTCGAATGTCGTTTGTGTTAAAAACCAAACTGAAACCGAAACCATAGGAATTCTTTCCTACCTAATAGGACAATTCTTATATATTGACTCGGCTTACATAGCCAATACATTCGGATTAGATAATGATGGGATTTCAAATGAAAAACAGGTTTTAGGATCTCGTTATAAAAGAAGGGATAGTGCAAGTGTCCTAGACCTTCATGAACGTTTTCTTCATCTAATGATTTCTTGGTGGTTTCGACCATCTGGAGGTCGTTATTCTACTCTTAGAGCCTTAGATCTTTGGTGGTTACATTGTTTCGAAAACAATATTAAAATCAACCTACCTCGGATTATTTTTGCTGAAATTGTTGAAACCGTAAATCTTGTTCCTAATAAAAAACTCTGTTCATCTCTTGTTTTGTATTTTGAGTAATCTGTTTTCCAAAGCTGGGCTTAGAGTTGGTCTTGATGCCGTTTTTCCTCTTAAGAAACAAATTAACCTTCTTTCCTTAACGAGAGCAGGATGGATTAAGGATAAGGAAACCGGGGAATGGGTTCGATCTTCTGCAAATACTCCGGGAGCTAGTTCTTCACAAGCTCCACCCGAAGCTGACGAAGATCTCGAGCTTGAGCAATTAATGCGAGACATCGATGAAGCCGAAGATGAACCTGAGCAGCCAGAGGAGCAGCCCGAAGAGCAGCCCGAAGAGCAAGCACAACAAACGCATCCAATGCCTCCATATTTCCAATCCTTTATGGAGACATTCGATTTTTGATACGCTACTATGGATTCACGCTTTACTTCTATAGAGTCCCATTTATCCACAATGGGAGCTCAACAATTAGAAATTCTTCAGGAAATGCGTGCAAATAATGAAGCAACCAACGCACGTATTAATGACCTCACTAACGAAATAGCCGCTATGCGAGCTCGTTTTCCTCCTCCTGATCAGGATATGTGATTAAATGTTTTACTTTGAACTCCAAACTTATTGTTTTAACATTTTGAATATTTTGGAATGTTTGAATTGGTGAATTGATTGTGAATTTGTTTGGATTTATGGATGATATGAACTTATATGTTTTGTGTGATTTATTCACTATTGCATCATTTACTTCATGTTAGATATATGACCAATTTTCCATATCACATTAAATATGAATATTGCTTATGAAGCTAATGGCTAACGTTTCTCTTGATTGTGATCTTAGCAGCTTATGCATACATATACCTAATCAATTGGCTAAATGTTTTTCACGTTTCTTTGAATCTTTTTGATTTAACAAAAAGGGGGAGAAGTGTGTGTTTTAAGTGCGTGTTTTAAGTGTGTTTTAAATAAGTGTGTTTTAAAATGATAAATGGGAGAAGTGTTAAAGTAAGAGGGAGTAATTTCAAAACTTGATTTCAAAATCTTAAAATTACTAAAATGTTTTGTTATATCAAAAAGGGGGAGATTGTTGAAAACATTTTTGAAAACATTTTGATATTTCGATATAACAAATTAAGTTAAATGAATTTTAAGATTTTCCAAATGATTTTCTAAGTATATTCGATATAATTATTCGAATATCAAAACATTACTCCAAATATTTCAAAGATCATTTTTAATCCTTACTTAAGTGTAAAATTAAGTTTTAATCTTAAAACAATTTCAAAATAATCTTTCAAAGTATTTCGAACCATTTCAAAGCCAAAAATTCCAGATTGCTCAGAGGGAACCGATTCCCCCCCAAGGGGGTACCGATTCCCCCCTGAATGGTTTGGCTCCGAGATTTCCAGAATGCTCGGAAGGAACCGATTCCCCCATAGGGGATACCGATTCCCCCTTATATAACGGTCGAAATATTTGAATTTTACACTTAAGGAACCGATTCTCCATAGGGGGTATCGATTCCCCCCACGCTCCAAGCTATTTTATTAATTGTTTTCACACTAAAACGACTATATGATCTTCACTAATCATCCCCAACGTTCAGAAGTGATTCAAGGTGTATTTAAACAAGTTCTGAAGCCCTTGATCAACAAGAAAATAAAGAGAAACAAGAGAGAAAGCATCAAACACCAAGTTTGTACAAATCAAGCCAATTTTCCTTTCAATATTCATTTTGCTTTCAAAGAACACCATTTGTGCTCATTTGTAATTATTTGTGAGTGTTCTTTTCTTGTTCTAGAATTATGCAAACATCTTACCTTGTGAGGTTTTCCTTGTAAGTTTGCAAATTTGTGTATTTCTCCTTGAAAAAGAGTGTGCTCAAGAATTTGGGGTATAATTCTTGAGGGAGCTGTAAGGTTACTCTTTGTCCTCAAAAGAAAGAACAAATTAGTGAATTTGTTGGAAAATCCTTAGTGTGGATAGCTAAGGTAGTGGACGTAGACTTTGGTTGATAAAGTCGAACCACTTTAATGTGCAATTATTTTCAATTTTTCTGCAAAAGCTTCCACCAAAATTTTAATTGCCAATTCACCCCCCGTCAATCGATTAACTCAACAGTATCAATACTTTATTAGCGTTATAACTTCTTTTCTTTTAAATTCCAAAAGTGTCGATACTTATAATAAAGTATCGAGACTTTCAACATATCCGGTAGCTCTTTACCGATTTTGTCATTTCGAGACCGGTTTTGTCATATTTTTACATGTTATATTGCTATGGATCGATACATTTTTATAAAGTATCAACACTTTATTAGCGCTATAGCTTCTTCTCTTTTAAATTTCAAAAGTGTCGATACTTATAATAAAGTATCGACACTATCAAACATATCTGGTAGTGCTTTACCTGTTTTGTCATTTATAGATCGATTTTGTCATTTTTTTTACTTGTGGCAAAATGGATTGGATCCATGTGGCAAAATGTTGTGGGGACTGAAGGGGGAAGCGTCGGCCAGCAGTGTCGCTAAGCCTGCAGAAGCATTTGATGGACTTTTGCGCAAGACTTTGAGCACACCGTTCCATTCCATGGAAATCTACAACCCCATCTCTTCCTATCTGCAAAATCTGACCCTTACCGCTCATATTCCTTCCAAAACTGCATTTATTTGAGCAAATTAACCGTGCAAAATTAATTTGTGTTAGATATTCATTTAAATTGTAATTAGCAATTAATTTGGATTATGATGTAATTTTATTGGTTGAACGTTTTTGCAGATAGGGTTCTGTTTTGTCATTATATACTGGTGTAGTAGTAATCCAGACCTCCTTTTAGCTTTGTCTTGTTTATCTTGCTTTTTGTTTGGGTGAAATGATGTCACGTGAAGGCTTCTCAAGCCTCTTCTTGTCTCCTATTAATTTGATCCATTAATTAATTACACTTGTGTATTATAAACTTGCTTCTATATCAAAAAAGAAAAACTCTTCTCTTGCCGCAATGGCACTGCCACTCTATGATCTGAACTCACCACCCTCCCCCTTTCCCCTTGTGGATCAAAATGAACAACAACATCTTCAGCTTTTTCTTTCACTGCCCCTGCCCCAACATACTGCTTCTCCTTCATCTGCTGATCTCAAGGCAAGAACATGCTGCTCATCGTCTTCACTTCAATCAGCTGCGGTGGATGGAGACTATGGAAGTACAACTGATAATAATGGATCATCACTGAAATGGACGTCTTCCAAGATGATGGTTAATAATGATAAATTTCCATATCTGGTTCATAATGGCGAAGAAACCAATTGTTTCAGTAACACTAATAACGCCATTAGAGTCTGCTCCGACTGCAACACAACCACGACACCTCTTTGGAGAAGTGGCCCTCGAGGTCCCAAGGTAAACTTTATTTAGTTGCTTTACCCTATGTAATGATCTATTATACATACATGAAGTTTACTAATATTGATGAAGGTGAAAACTAGGGCAGTCGCTTTGCAATGCTTGTGGGATTCGGCAAAGGAAGGCGAGACGAGCCCTGGAAGCAGCGGCAAATGGAGCGGCTGTGGTGACAGATGCAGCATCTTTGAAGATTAAGGTACACAGCAATAAGGAAATGAAGAAACAACGTACGGTATACAAGAAGCAGTTGAAGAATAAATCTGGGAATATTTGTCTTGGTAATGATTATGAGATCGGGAGGCAAAAGAAGCTTTGCGTGAAGGAATTTGGTTTAAGTTTGAACAACAACTCAGGTTTGCGGCGTGTGTTTCCTCAGGATGTGGAAGATGCTGCAATCCTCCTAATGGAACTGTCGTGTGGCCTTTCTCACAGTTGACTTTTATTTTACTACCCAATAAATTTTGTAGCTTGTATCACAGGATTAAAGAGTGGTCGGTCATATGTATGTAGACAAAACAATTAACATTATTCTAAGTTATATATGTTTATTATTTGATAGCTTTTTAAAATTAATGGATTCATAAGATAAAATCTAATACAATTTTAATTCACCAAATATAATATTATCTCAATACAAATCAATTTACTTCTCTGTAATCCATATTTTATATTAACAAACTGTAAATCTGACATATGAATTCATGAAATCTAATGGTAGTGTGCTTCTAACTAAGTTGGGGTATTTGTTGGTACTAATAATTCTAAGAGTTTTATATTTTAATCCTGGAAATGCTTTGGAATTCCCATGCTTCGGCATTGGAATAGAGTATAGGGATACTTATTTTTCTAATCTTAAAAAATAATAAATAGATTTTAATTTGATTTATAATATCCATGTAATATTTTAAGGATTGTAAATTTAAATATATTTAAACAAATAATATCGTATAATTTAAAGGTGGAAGGTATAAATAATTTAGATATTATATTAAAAAGATCAATTAGAAAATACTCTAAATTAGGAGTAATTAGGGGTTCCTTTGACCCTAGTCTTCCTCGTGTGCTTTACATGGAAGTATAAAGATTTGGGTGTTAGGTATACCTACATTTTTGTGTTGTGTTAAATCTCCTACACATGCATAGAAAATAATTGTGTTATCAGATTCAAATAAATATCAATATTATTATCCAAATGATACAGTGATCGTAGAGTGTTTTTTTTAATAATTTTTAATTAATAATTAGATAAATAATTAAAAACATGTTGTAGTAGATTAAAGTTGATTATGACAGACAAAGTTCATTATTAATACATTAAATAAATAATTAAAAATACATTATGATATATAACTTTATAATCGAATTTATGTTAAATAAAATAAAGAGCAGAAGACGGGGGAAAGCGTGAATAAGCATCTCGATCAATATTGATAGGCAACTTCGTTTTCCTTGGAGTGGTGGGTAAGATCTCTTCAACTCGGCCATTTTAGGCTCCCCATCTTTCTCACATCTCTATGTTAACTGCGACAGATTTTGGTTATTTAATGAGCCATAAGGAGGGTAGGGCTTAAAGTTCCCCCTCCAAGGTCCATGGAAATTAATTCAAAGTGAATAAATATTTAAGTTATTTTTCCGCTGCAAACCCCAAGAAACTGTAATAAATATGATCATAGTCAAGTGCCTAATCACATGATAAAAGATAAAAGATTTTTTTTACTTACAATATCGAATGAGACTCCCCATACACCACAGGTAATTCTTTTAGTTTTTGTATTTTAAACATGTGATGGTGGAGGGATAAGCTGGATTGTGAGATTGTGAAAGAGATTCTGCCACCATATAAGCTTCACTTAAAAACAAGATACAAACTTTTTTTTTAAAAAAAATAGTAATTTTTTCTGGGTTTGTTTGAATAATAAGGATGAGATGAATTGTGATCCACTGAATCTCAATCTGTTTTCCATACCATTCATTTTGTTCCGGAGATTTGTGATGTTTTTATTTGCCGAGTATGATATGTATTATCCTCATGGGGAAAAAATCTCTTTTCCTACTTAGGTGTAAAGTCACTCACCACCCACCACTTACCATGCTTTTTGAAGCCCACAAATTTCCTTATTTTTTTCTTATAAAAATTAAATCTTTATATCTTTTAGAGTTCATTCATGATTTAAATGCAACCATATATACGAATTACTATATATATAGACAAATATCACTAACAACAGTCCACCAGCCTTCTTCATCCCGCTCATGTTTAACAAAAAATAAGCCTTTTAGCCTCTTTTCCTCAACGACCCAAGTTTCTATTTTTCTTCTTGTTTTCATTTCCTTTACCAAACCTTGTTGAGAAAAAGAAAAACTCTTTTTCATGGAGCGTGCAAGGAAGGTGGCTAACAGGGCAATCCTGAAACGTTTGGTTAATGAATCCAAGCAATCACGCAATGGTGAAATAAGCCTTAGATCACCTGTTTCGTACACTCCTTCAAGGTATGTATCTTCATTGTCACCATTTGTTTCTAAGAGTTATAGCAGATCAGATTTATTAGGTGGTAGAAATGTGTCGAACAATGTTGGTTTCGGCGCTGGGTCACAAATTCGATCCATTTCTGTTGAGGCGTTGAAATCAAGTGATACTTTTCCTCGCCGCCATAACTCTGCAACCCCCGAGGAGCAGACCAAGATGGCTGAGTCATGTGGATTTAATAGCCTTGATACTCTTATCGATGCAACTGTGCCCAAGGCTATACGTATTGATTCCATGACGTTTTCCAAGTTTGATGAGGGGTTAACTGAGAGCCAAATGATTGAACACATGAAAAATTTGGAATTAAAGAACAAGATTTTTAAGTCTTTCATTGGAATGGGTTATTATAATACTCATGTTCCCCCTGTGATTTTGAGGAATATAATGGAGAATCCAGCTTGGTACACGCAATACACTCCTTACCAGGCTGAGATATCTCAAGGACGCCTTGAGTCTTTGCTTAATTACCAAACTATGATTACTGATCTTACTGGATTGCCTATGTCGAATGCTTCGTTGCTCGACGAGGGAACTGCTGCTGCCGAGGCAATGGCCATGTGTAACAATATATTGAAAGGAAAGAAGAAGACTTTTATTATTGCAAACAATTGTCACCCCCAGACAATTGATATTTGTAAGACAAGAGCTGATGGTTTTGACATTAAAGTCGTTACTGCAGATCTTAAGAATATCAATTACAGCTCTGGTGATGTCTGTGGGGTTCTGGTTCAGTATCCGGGTACCGAGGGTGAGATTTTGGACTATGGGGAGTTTATTAAGAATGCTCACGCCCAGGGTGTTAAGGTTGTCATGGCAACTGATTTGTTGGCTTTGACAATGTTGAAGCCCCCAGGTGAACTTGGAGCAGATATAGTTATTGGCTCAGCACAGAGGTTCGGAGTGCCGATGGGGTACGGTGGCCCTCATGCTGCATTTTTGGCTACTTCCCAAGAGTACAAGAGGTTGATGCCAGGGCGAATTATCGGTGTTAGTGTTGATTCTTCAGGGAAGCCTGCTTTGCGTATGGCTATGCAGACCAGGGAGCAACATATCCGCAGGGACAAGGCTACTAGTAACATCTGCACTGCTCAAGTAAGATATTTTGTGTTTCCCTATAGGAACTGTTACATAGAGGTTTAGAGAACACTTAAATTGCAAAGCTTTAAAAGTTTTAAAGGGTGCAGATTTATTCTTAGGATAAAGTTAGCAGGACATATTGCTCTTTTTCTGAATTAAGTTCTTAGTAATCTATTGAAATTTTCTTTGCTTTGCAGTTTTTGATTTAATATCTTGTTTTATCTAGGCATTACTAGCAAACATGGCTGGTATGTACGCTGTTTATCATGGACCTGAGGGCCTAAAAGCCATCGCACAACGTGTCCATGGTCTTGCTGGGGCATTTGCTTTGGGGCTGAAAAAACTTGGCATTGTGGAAGTCCAGGGTCTTCCCTTCTTTGATACTGTGAAGGTTACATGCGCCGATTCTCATGCAATAGCAGATGCTGCTTACAAGAGTGAGATTAATTTGCGGGTTGTTGATGCCAAAACTGTGAGTCTGGTTGGATCTGTGGTTTTTATTTGGTCAAACATTTATATATCATGTGAGGTCATGGGTCTTCGGTTTCTTTTCAGATCACTGTTTCATTTGATGAAACAACTACCTTGGATGATGTGGACAAGCTTTTCAAAGTATTTTCCGGTGGCAAACCAGTGAGTGTTAATAATCTTTTCCGTAGATATAATTAATGTTCACACTTATAACTTTTGCATATTGACTTGGGATCACCTCTACCGGAACTTTCAGGTCTCGTTCACTGCTGCATCTCTTGCACCAGAGGTTGAGAATGCAATTCCTTCTGGACTATCGAGACAGAGTTCATACCTCACCCACCAAATATTTAACACGTATGGAACTTTCATGAAAAGAAGACCCGCTTGTAGCTTATAGATTAAATGTGCCACTCACTTTTATTTGTTTTCTTTTTCAGATATCACACAGAACATGAGTTGCTTCGATACATTCATAGGTTACAGTCAAAGGATCTATCATTGTGTCATAGTATGATTCCATTGGGATCTTGTACAATGAAACTAAATGCGACAACTGAAATGATGCCCGTTACATGGCCTGGTTTCACTGACATCCACCCGTTTGCCCCTCCCGATCAGGCTCAGGGTTATCAGGCAAATATCTCTTTACCCAGAAGTTCTTCACGCCTTAAAAAGATAATCTAGCAGAGTAAATTTGAATCTTTAGCTTATTGATGAACTTTGGTTTTCTGCTCTATTAGGAAATGTTCAATAATTTGGGTGACCTGTTATGTTCAATCACTGGGTTCGACTCTTTCTCTTTACAACCTAATGCTGGTGCTGCTGGGGAGTATGCCGGATTAATGGTTATCCGAGCATATCATAAGGTAAGTGACAGTAACCAACTTAGACTCATTTCACTTAACAAAAAGGTATTCCTTTTATTCATACAAAGCTTGTGTCGGTTATGTTGACACTTACTCTGGATGAATACTGCAGTCAAGAGGAGACCATCACCGGAATGTGTGTATCATACCTGTTTCAGCACATGGGACAAATCCTGCTAGTGCTGCAATGTGTGGAATGAAAATCGTTCCTGTCGGAACTGATTCCAAGGGTAACATCAACATTGAAGAATTAAGGAAAGCTGCTGAAGCTAACAGGGACAATTTGTCCGCTCTTATGGTATGAGTGATCACATTCATCCCTACAATTCTTTTAATGCAAGGAAACTGTTCATGCGAACCCGATTTATTATTTCAATTCCAGGTCACTTATCCTTCAACCCATGGAGTGTATGAAGAAGGGATCGATGAGATATGCAGAATAATCCATGAGAATGGAGGTCAAGTGTACATGGATGGGGCTAACATGAATGCCCAGGTCTTTTTTTCAACTTATTTCAACACTTGTTACTAATTATATTTATTTTTTCTATATAAAAAAAACATATTTTTCGGCTTACAGGTGGGTTTGACAAGTCCAGGTTTTATCGGAGCAGATGTTTGCCATCTGAATCTCCACAAAACCTTCTGTATTCCACATGGAGGTGGTGGACCTGGCATGGGACCTATTGGTGTCAAGAAGCATTTAGCACCCTTTTTGCCTTCACATCCTGTGGTAATATACTCTCCGAGATATACATATGCCTATATATGTACAAGCTCGTTTTGGCTTTTCCATGATCATCTTACAAATCTTTGAACTTCCCTGTGAAAGAATTGCTTCTATCTTATCTTTGGGGTTTATTAATTATCACTAGTCTTGCTTGCCATGATAGAAAAATATGTTCCTGAAATTCTGAGCAATGGCTTTTACTGATTACCATTTACCACTGACATCACATTGCAAATGGAATTTCTAGATGGATTCTTGTGCTGCAAGATACTTTTATCCGATGTTGATTTCTAGTTCATATTGTAGATATCTACTGGAGGTATCCCAGCCCCTGAAAAATCAAACCCTCTCGGTACCATTTCTGCTGCACCTTGGGGCTCTGCACTTATCTTGCCGATATCATACACTTACATAGCCATGATGGGATCTAAGGGACTGACTGATGCTTCAAAGATAGCTATTTTGAATGCAAACTACATGGCAAAACGCTTGGAGGTACCTTTTTAACTTGAGACCGTGCTTATAATCATCTCAATTTTCACATTCATCTCTTTTTGTAATTGATTTTGTGTTTTTCAGAACCACTACCCCGTTCTTTTCCGTGGTGTCAATGGAACAGTTGCTCATGAATTCATTGTTGATTTGAGAGGCTTTAAGGTAGTTAAAGTGGAATGGTTTTTCAAATTTCCTCTTTATCATTCTGTTTGTTTCCATGATTGATTGCTAACCACCATTACTGCAGAACACTGCTGGAATAGAGCCAGAAGATGTTGCTAAACGTCTTATGGATTATGGATTCCATGCTCCTACAATGTCATGGCCTGTTCCGGGCACACTTATGATCGAACCCACTGAAAGTGAAAGCAAGGTACAATTCACCAAATATCTTTCTGCCTAGCAACATTCCATATTCCTCATCTCTCCCTCTTTCTCACGTCTACGTTCAATATCTTGTGCAGGCCGAGCTTGATAGGTTCTGTGATGCTCTCATCTCTATCAGGGAAGAAATTGCTCAGATTGAAAATGGAAAAGCTGATATCCACAACAATGTTCTGAAGGTGAATGGCTCTTCTTTTCACCATATTTTCCCTCTATTTCTTGGATAACAATAAGTTATGATCAACATATATTGAAGCATTGTGTCTAAAATATGCACATACAGGGAGCTCCTCATCCACCATCTCTGCTCATGGGAGATGCATGGACAAAGCCATATTCACGGGAATATGCGGCCTTCCCGGCTTCCTGGCTCCATTCTGCTAAGTTCTGGCCTACTACAGGTGTGTATGAGAACATCTTGTATTGTTGTTTTCCTTAATATTTTCATCATCAACCATGTCCCTTGAGAGCACTATGATATTGAGTTCCAAAATATATACCGATCCCAAATTCGTTTCCTGTAAAACTTTTAACTGGAGAAGGGCGAACTTTGTTCTGTGATTGATTGACCTTGATTTTGGCCAATCATGTTATTCAAGCATTATGTTGCACATGAATTTGCATGTTATCCTTACCATGCTTATGTATACTGATTTTTCAACTCTTTCCGTGGGTGTACCAGGACGTGTTGACAATGTATACGGCGATCGCAACCTCATCTGCACCCTGCTCTCAGTCTCGCAGATGGCTGAAGAAGAGGCGGCAGCCAATGCATAATCGGCGAATCCGTGTGTCTTTGGGGGCCCTTGATCTGTGATATACATAATCTCAAAGATGCAAGTTGAAAACATCTCGTCCATCAAAAGAAGAAGAAAAAAATCCTCATCGTCTCTTTCTGGCTCATGTACATAAAGTATCCACCATTTGCATATATGTTCCCAGCTACAGCTGTGACTTTTCATTTGGTTGATATACTTAATCAGCTGCTGCTTTAATAACAAAAATTGTTTCTGATTGCAACTCAAATACTGTAATTATCGTTACTCAAATCTGCTTGTGTCCTCTGTAGATATTTATGGCACAGTCAGTGCCACGACTAGTCTGCTAGATTCTTGCCAGCTTTATTGTTGTAGATATTGCAATTCTAATATCAAATTTACTAAGATATGTTCAAATTTTCGTGTTACTTTCTGCCCAATTTCTATAACAGTTGACGACATTACAGTTTACCACACCCTACAGAGAACCATAAATGGTTAAAAGGTTGACTTACAGATTAAGTTAGACCTCAATCTTTCCATATTTGGGTGTAAAAAACAGTGTGCCACCTAGGCTAATAGTATCGAGTATCGAATAAATAAACTCATGCACATCTTATATATAATGTTATTTGTATTCGAATCATTGATGAAGAGTAATATTATCTTATCAGATACAATTCAATTAAATCAACTAAATTTGATCTATAAGAAAAATCCATGATGTTTGTAGATGCTCGGTTTTGTCCGGGGCTAGGTTGGAGCAGACCCAAAACAGAGCAGTTGGAGGCCTAGCTCAAGTCCAAGGATCCAACAGAGTAGCTTCTAGCCCACATGAAGATTACCTGGAAAACACGAACAGTTACTGGAAGATTGAGCAAAAAACGTGGAGACCAGTTTTTCGCGGGGATTGAGAAAGAAACTGTAAATGGGGTGGAGGGTCGGTTTTTTTTTTTTATTGGGAATTAACCTCCAGAAACGGACAGAACACTATCATCACAAATTACAGAAAAAAGGGGCCAGGAACCATTAGCGAGAATTAAGAGAAAAAAGAGAGACAACAACAAAGAAAAAAACCAGAGGGAGATTTCTCGTATTCGGATTAGAGAGAAAACTGAAAGCAACAAGTGTAAGAGAATCTTTTAAGATCAATACAAAGAAATTTTCCAGATTTCCTTTTTCCTTTGGTTCGAAAGAAAATCATAGCACTCATTAAGGTATTTATTTTTTTTCTTCTGTTTCATTTTTCAGTACTTTATATGTGTATGGTATGAATACGAGTAAGTAAATCACTAGAGAAAGAAAACCAAGTAGTTTACCATGCCCTTGAGAGGAGACGAAGTAGGCTTTGAGTCAAGGTCAGCATTTCTAGCGGTGGTTTGTAGACGCTGATCTTGTTTCTCAGACAAAAAAAAGAGAAAAATAATGAAGATAGAAGAAAGCTGAGTTTAGGTTCGGTTCAGGGTCAAGTGTCGTACCTTGTGCGTCGTTTTCTTTCCTCATCGGAGCTTTTGAGGGCGAACCACGGTGGTTGTGTGATTCAGCCGTGACAGTTAAGGGGTAGTGTAACCCTTAGGTCCTGTTTTTTGTTGTGAGAGACTCAAAACTAAGAAGTTTAGAGTTGTTAGAGGATGGAGGCCATGGCAGCTTTGTGCTGTCTAGGGTTAGGGAAGAAGAAGGGAGAGATAGAGAAGATGAGAAGAACGGCGTTGGGGATTGTTTAAACATAAATGAGACTAGGGTTTAAGCTGCTCAAAATATTATGCATATATTAGATCTTCAAAACGACAACACTTTGGGAATGGCCGATTCGTGTGGGTTATTCAACACTTGGGTCATTTGAACTTTCAGTTTCATGCATTTTAATCCTTAAATCGTTGTGTTCGTATTCCTGATTTTGTCTCTATGTTTTGCCCCATTTAATCTTCGTCCTAAAGTGTTTATTGTACTTAGTTTCTGTTTTTTAGACATAGGACTTTAAATGTTTTGCATGTTCTATTTTAGTCCATTTTGTGTGTTTAATCAAATTTTGCAATGATTATGATTATGGCTCATTACTTTAAAAAGTTTCTATTTTGACCCCATTATTTATTCAAGTTAATTTCTTGTATTTTTACGTTTGGTATGTAATTATGTTAATATTTTTATTTTCGTCCATAGATTTAAATTTTAAATACTTTAGTCATAATTTAGACTTTTTAGATTAATTCTTTAAATTTAAATTTATTTTAATATAGTCCATTCTTAGATTTGTTTTTAAGTTAGTTGTTTATATTTACTTTGCATGTTATGCGAATGATTTATGGTGACCCACATGCCATCATTCTTTGTATGATTTGTATGATAGCCTCACTTGCACAACTCGACATATTCATAATCGAATTAAGGGTAATATACTTTTAATTTAAAATTGTTTTAAGTGGGCAGTCATAACTGATTTGAGGTCCGCTTTTAATGATTTTAAAATAAAAGTGTATCCCGAAAGTGAAACTAAAAAATTTGATTTGTCACCTAAAATTTGGGAACGAGAGAAAAAGAAATGTTCGTTTATTTAAATATATCGAGAAAAGGTTGTTATATCTTTAAGATATAGTCTCGGTATTTGTAAATAATCGAACATTTTTTATCTTTCTAAAATGACTTGGTAATTTTAATTTAATTTGTTTGAGTGTTCTTGAATGTTTTAAATTTACATTTTTATTTTATGGGATCAAAAAATCAAATAAAGTTCGAATTTGTAAAGTTCATTGCAAAAACGTTAATTAATCGACTATGTACCAATTTAGGGCGTTGTGGGGGTGCTAATCCTTCCCCACACGTAACCGACTCCCGAACTCGGATTTTGGTAACGCAGACCTCAATTTGTTGTTTTAATTAAAATTAATTTTTATTTAAAATGACAAAGCATTTTTGGGTGCCCAATCACACCCTAATCAAAGATTGGTGGCGACTCTTTGAACCGTATTTTTCGATCGTAAAGGAAATCCAAAAATTTTTGAAACGAGAGGTCATTTTAATTGCATTTGTTTTTAAATTAAAAAGAGATAATTAAGAATTAATGTGGTTTTCAAAATCTCACCTTTTTTCACTTTAAAGAAAAAAATCGTTTCGACAGCTTGGCAACTCCGCTGGGGACATTTTTTAGAGAGTCAGGCCGATAGTCGATTAATTATGTGTCTTTGCAATTGAAAGTTATAAATTTGTTTTAATTTGGTTTTTGATCCTTTATTTGGTTTTAATATTTTTTGTTTATAATATGATTAACCAATAAATAGTTGTACTGATCTGTTTGTTAATGATTTCAGATTAATTGTGTATTTTGGGAATTGATTTTGAGTGTTTTTATTGTTTGTTTTTTCGCTTTTCCTCACACACTGCACAGCTGCATTATCATAACATGAGCTAAAACCCTGCTCCGTCCTATTTAAGTAGGAGTGAGAGACTATGCCCTCGTGTGGTTTTCACCTCCGCATGGGATAGTGGATCGCTCCTGGAGCTCACGCCTTATGGTCCTCGTGATGGTAATCACCTCCGCATGGACATAAGGAGGTGTGTTCCCTCGAAATTGAACTCGATCCCCTAAAGCCTGTGATGGGCCAGGATTGAGGGTTTGGCAGCCCAATGGGGCATCGGCAAGGATAATTCGAGAACCTATTACTTTAGAACCTAACCCAGCATATAGTGAACGTAGAGCCTGAACTTAGGTTGAACCAAACCCGAATCTTAAGAATCCCGCGAGGAGGGTACACAAGGAAAAGCTTTTTTGAGTCATTTATTTTCATTTTTCGAATAAATGCTTGCGAACTAGATATCATGCGGTTAGGTTTATTTTTTGAATAAGCACGCGAATTAGATATCATGCGGTTAGGATTTCTTTTTGTGGATAACAAAGCATGGGGGTAGATATCATGTTGGGTAGGATCTGATAAAGCATGATGAGGTAGTCAGCATATGTGGGTAGGATTTTTGAACAAATTATTATCCTGACTTAATTGCTTCATGTTTACTAACCGATCTTTTGTTGTTTTTGCCTTGTTTCTTTTCTGTTTTGCATTGCATTGTCCATTACATGGTGTTGATTTGGGGTCGATGTCCATATAGAAGGCCAGTAATATGGAACGAACAGTTCAGAAAGAGGTTGAGGACAATGCAGATGTTCTGAGGTGGTCGGAATAGTCCCAATTGACCAATGGAGACAGCGTGATGCCTAGATATGTATCAGAGTTATTTGGCTACACTCACATCAACGTACGTCAGAATGATCTGAGTGAGCTAAGAGAGATATGGGGAAGATGGGAAGCAGCCGATAAGGAGATGTTTTATCAGTTGTACGGCGATATTCCTTATCTTCTGGATGTTCCTATTGACCGAAATCTGTTTAGAGCATTGGCGCAGTTCTGGAATCCTACTTATAGCTGTTTCACATTCGGTAGAGTAGATATGACACCAACAATAGAAGAGTATCAAGCATTGGTCCGTTGTCCGAGGTCCCAGATAGATAGAATATATACCAAGCTGCCAGTCACTCCTTCATTTAAGAAGAAATTACTATTGATGACCGGAATGAGTGAAGATTGGGTAATCAGAAACATTAAGAAGAAGGGAGACAGTGAGTGCATCTCTTGGGCTGCTCTGAAAGAAGTAATTGCTCATCATCCTGATAAGAGAAAGAAGCTTGACTTGTTTGCTTTAGGGATTTATGGGCTTGTTATTTTTCCAAAAGTGTTAGGATATGTAGACGTATCAGTTGTTGACCTGTTTGAAAGATTAGACAAGCGCGTGGATCCTGTTCCAGCTATTCTAGCTGAGACGTTCCGGTCTTTGAGTTCTTGTAGGCGTGAGAGAGAAAGACGCTTTATAGGATGTGCGCCTTTGCTGCTAGTGTGGATTCTGAGTCATTTCAAACATGTTGAAAGAGCACCAGGACGAGTATTTTTAGACAGTTTCTCACCTTTGAAGGATTTTCTTTCTAAAGAGTGGCCTGGGGGTTTTACCGAAGAAAAATAGATGGTCATCTTCAAGGATATCAGAGATGGAGATATTTTGTGGCGAGCTTCGTGGAATACCTCTTCATATATATTTTACCGATGTGGAGAGCGAGATTGGGTTCCTTTGCCAGGTATATGGGGTTCTGTTGGGTATGCTCCGCTACTAGTTTCCAGACAGTATGGATCGAGGCAGTTCATTCCAGCCACATGGGACTTGGTAGGATCGGATTTTGCATTCAAAGGAGATCAGTATAAGGGTAAAGTTAAAGGGGTTACTGAGGCCTGGAAGC